TACAACTGGTCTCGTTCTATGGGTGACTTCTTGGGGTGGACCGGGCTCAGGTCTGCTCGGTGCCTAGGTTTGGCTCTGCAACTGAGCTGTCGCTACCTGTTGAGCTTGCAACATTTTAAAAATCATATGCAGGTTGATCCCGTCCTCTCCGTCATTTTGGGTATTTCGAACTGTAGATCTAGTTCCACCATGAATGCTGTTTTCGGGGCTAGAATGTTGGTTTGCTTTAATGGCCACATGCGAATTAACGTCAATTGGACCCACAGCCCGAGTTCCAAAGGGGTCAACGGGTGGCCTTTCATCCTCGGGTGTCACGTTGTTATTCTCATCTTGATGGCGAGTCGTTGTCGATAGGTAGGACCATTAACTGAGAGTTCGTCATTTTTAGCCTGAAATCAAATACACTTCCAAAAGCAAGTGTAAAATAGTGTGTTTTACAGAGATTTGTATCAAATAACCACTATTATCCCTAGCCCCACGGTGTGCGCCAAACTTTTTACCCGAAAAAACGGATAGCAATTGAATTTATACGTAGTTCTAAGGATACGTGGTATAACTTGGTACAAATTGGAAAAATAAGTAAATGAATATTGAAATTAGGTATAAAAGAAATGAATGCAAACCGAATGAATTAGTTGGCCTAAGCCTTCAGGTTTTATCACTCTCAAATTGAATGGATAATGATTGGTAGAAGAACAATATGAGACAATATCAAAGCCCAAAAAAGGATAATATTTGCTTGATGCTCTATAATTCTCAATGAATGTGATCCCCCTTCTACAAGTGATAACAACCCTTAATATATGGGAGAAATCCTATTTTGGATATAATTAAAAAATATGTAGTGCGGATCCCATGATAGATTAAATAATTATTCTTTCCTTGATTTGTGCTGTGATTTCCTCCGAGATTCTCTCCCTAATTGCGGCTATAACGACTTTATTGTTTCTTGGCTCGATCTTGATCCTGGCCGATCTCGATCTCGACCGATCTCGATCTTGATCAGTCTTCTGAGTCTTCGAGCTCGATCTTGGCCGACCTCGATCTTGATCGGTCTCTGGGTCTCGAGCTCGACAACATATACTTCGCACCATGGCTCGATATTATAATGATAAACCTCGGACGACCACATTCCAATCTCGATTAGTCATACGAAGGGCATATTCGGTTTTGACCGTATACAACGATCAATTTTTAATCTAAACATCACTATTCTCTCTATTGGAGTTACCGATTAATCCTTTCCTATTCTTGATAATGCAATAATTATATTCATATTTCTATCCTTGAAGTCAAGTCAATATAAAATAAAATTTATTAAAAAAATCAAAGTACTTCGTGCAAATCACGGGCATACTCAGTGGGATCAAAAAGAGAAGGAAAAAAAAACAAGAAGATTAGATGATAGAAGAAAAAATTTCTTTTCTCATTGCGTAGTAGAAAGATAAATTACAAAAAGGCATTAGTGAGTTAAGAATCCATTAAGCATTAATTGAGACTCCCTTTAAATTGTTTCAAGTGGATAGGTTGTTAAGCTAAGAATTTGTTGCGTTTTTTCTTTAAAGGGTGTGAATGGAAAGTGGAATAGGCACTTTTTAGACCGCACCTCTCCATATCATCCTTTTTTTGTCTATAAATTTAGAGATTTGGCCTCATTTTTAAGATATGAAAAATCTGAAATCTTCTCCTCTCTTTCCTACATTGTTGTAATATTTCCTAAATAAACATAAGTGTCAAGTGTGATTTGCTCCGTTTGTTGAGTTCGCTGAAATTCTATAATTTGAAGTGCCGCTATTACAGAATAGTTATTTCGTTCTATCGTGGGAGGAATTAATCCGTATACCTTGGACAACAGTGAAGAGATTAAATTTCTTAAGGACACACTGTGAATTCAGTGCGCTCAGATTTAATTTTGTTCTTCTTATGCATTTCTGTTTCTCTTTTACTTTACATGATTTTTTGATTTTGAACACAGGTTACCAACATAATTCACATTGACTAAACACAGCATCAATTTTTTACTTTTTAATTCTGCCAAAAAGCATGTCCAAAATGCGTTGCTAATTTGTTGTAATTATTTATGACTGCTTTTCAGGTTGTTAAAATAATTTTTTAATTTTCGTTTTTTACAAGCCTAATTTGGAAATTTTAAACTGTTATAGTATAAAGTTATAACAACCCGGCCTTTTGGTTATTCGCTAGTGTTGCATGCTTTTTAGTCGTAGTATGTGTTCATAGGGCAGAAATTAAATAGTGCTCTCGTATTTTTGGACCTGTAATTAAAAAATAACTACTATCATAGAGCTCACAAGTGAAACTTTACGATAATATCCTAAAGTTTTACCCTTCAAAATTTCATGACAATAATTATTTTTCAATTACAAAACATTAAAAGTAACTATTTGTAAATTTTACCCGTTCGTATGTTGATATATGGTATATAAATATTGTTATAATTATGTTATGACGCATTGCTAAGCCCATGTAGCAACCCTGTGTTTATTTTCTTTTTTAATGATAAAACTTGTTTTGCTCGAATTAACACACAATATCAATCAGTCAAGTGATCAAGAATCATTCACAGTGCCATTATGTCAACCACAACATCTATAACCAACATGTTCTAGTGACAAGTTAATAAAATAGCACAACTAAACTCTGGTTTTCTGCTTCAGAGAAACATCTATGTTTTCGAAAATTACAATCAACCATTACGCTGATTAACATATATCATTCTCCAAGACTATTATAGAAAATTTATCTGACTAAATCCTACATATCTAAGGTTTATCTTGAACGAAAAAACTCAGTTGGTTTTGGAAAATCAAAATCCCCAACTTTCAAAAACAGTACGACAAACTAGACATTGTTGTGGTGTCTCTACTTCAACGTGACACCCTTTTTTCCCGTCAAAAGGAGATTAGCATTAGTACATTGTTTGATTATCGGAATAAAGATATACTAATCCCAAAATAGAATATATAATCGTATTTATCTCATCTTTAGTTGTGTGTATTAGTTAGTAGTGGATAAATTTTATAATAAAATGATAGAATTATCTATATCCTATGTGATAATTTCAGCCCATGAGATATTCTTGTCTATTCCACCTGATAACCTAAACATAGATAACAAAGGTAGTTGTACTTTGTAGAATACACAAGTTGCCATAAAAGGCCAAAATATTACTACAAGTACTAGTAAATAAATGACCTGATTGAACTAGTACCTAATTATCCAGTACAATTTTTGTTAACCAATTATTCAAAAACCTTTGTTTTGCTCTAGAACTTTCTTCAATATATTGTAGTCATAAAAGCAAAATATTAAACGTCTTCCAAAAAAGCAGTAAACTAAACTTGCAACCGTTTCCTTTGCAAAAATTATCAACCATATACATTCCAATATACTAATTCAATCTCTTTCAAAAAAATAACCAAAATAACATGCTAAATATGTACATATATAGCAATATATAATGAATATTATCTTCTTTTTTAAGAAATGATTCTTTACTGAGATGCTGCAATCATAGTGGTGGGGGCAACGTTCATGAAATAACCATATCCTAAGCTTGACTCTTATTGACTTGGCTTTGAACAATATAAAGAAAATAAATTGCAATAAGTTGACCGACTTTTATTCTGTTTTATAAACACAACGCAAATGGTGTCAATTGGAACAATTTGAGCTCACACCTATTTAACCCATTCAACTAGTCCAAGGTTAGATAGGTTATTGACCCGCCCATTTGTTGAGGTCAATCCATCAGCCCATCGCAGCCCTTTTAAAGTGGGGCTGAGTTTTAGCCCAAATTGATCCACAAATAACTTAACTAAAATATTTTTAAATTTTATCTTTGTTTGATATGTTATATATGACTATAATAAAAGAATATTTTTTTTTTGATAATTAAACAATTCATAAGAAAACAATACATATTAATTAAAGTTTGGTAAGAGTTGTGCGAGTTGGGTTATGACCCGAATTTTAGCCTATATTGGCCAGCTCATCTCAATCCAAGAAACTTTGTGACAGATCATTTATTGATTTAGTACATTTTGACCCGCCCAAAATTAGCACAACCCGTCCTTTTGACACAAGTGTCAGCTCGTGTTTTAATAGGCGGGGCGTAAGGCGAAGCGTTTTACATATGCTTCAACGAGGCGTAAGCCCCATAGGTATTTAATTTTTACTATTTTATAAAATAATATAATTACAGTAAATATTTATAAACAGGTAAAATTACANTTCAAGTAACTTGAATCAAAAAGAATAAAGTTTTCTACATGGAGGAACAAAAATGAACTAACCTTCAATTTAAACTTTGAACTTGCTGCTATGAAGGAGAATGGAGTTCTCTTTGCATTTGTAAAAAAAAAATTGAATATTCGTTGCTTTTGGGAGACATTAACAGACTAGCGGACAAGATAAAGAATTGGTAAAGACCGTGAATTGGGGGCTTCAATCAATAAAAAAGATCTTTACTTTTAAATTTAATACATTTCAGTTCTTTTTTAAAACTTTTGAGTAATTATCAAACTGAATTTTGAAAATTTGGGTATTATACGAATGACTTATTCGACAAATTTTGTTTTAATTTGAAAAAATCTCTGGGACTTACGCCTCACTAAAAAAACTCGCCTCAAACACCCGGGCGTATGCCTCTTGAGACTTTCGCCCCACACCATCGCTCCAGGGCGTTTTTGGTGCGCCTCGCCCCGAAAACGCTTTTTAAAACACCGGTGTCAACTACAAGGCAAGCGGATAGGATCTTTTTTCTTTTTGCTACTTTTTTCCTCTTCTTATTCCTGCACTTTAATCAGTTTTCACATTTTCACTGTCAACATGTAAACTTTTATGTCGAACATTATCGATTATCTGTTTAATTTCCACCTTTTTGTTTCTTTCTATATTCCCTTTATTTTTTATTTTTTTGAAATCTTGGTGCTATATAATGGAGCGGCTTTGAACTTTGGCAACACCACACAAATCCAGTATCCATATTCCCTTGAAAGATTCTATTTCTAGTGCATATGGATAAGCAAATTTTCTTGTTGATTCTTCTCTTTCTAGGTCAATATTACTTGCTTTCTATATCAGCTGCTTCCTTAAATGAGACAGACCAAGATGCTCTACTGACTTTCCAAAATCTTGTTACAAGTCCAAGTCATTTTCTGGCCAAAAACTGGACTAAGAATACTTCTTTTTGCTCTTGGTTTGGTGTCACTTGCAATTCAAAAAGGCAAAGGGTTGTGTCTTTGGCTCTTCCAAATTTGCAACTTCAAGGCACAATATCTCCATCTTTGGCCAATTTGTCCTTTCTAAGAGAGCTCAATCTTGTGAACAACAACTTCCAAGGAAATATTCCAACAAGTCTATTTCAACACCAAAGAATTCAAAATATTTCATTAGCTTTTAACAAACTTAGTGGTGAAATATGGCAAGGGCCATGGTATTCACCTGAACTTAGAGTCTTGGATCTTACCAACAATAACCTCACAGGTATCATCCCTCTTTCAATTGGAAATGCCACAAAATTGCTAAACTTAAGTTTGCGTAGGAATAGAATCAACGGCAATATTCCAAATGATATTGGTAATTTGAGCCAACTTGCAATGTTGTCTTTGTCCCATAATCAATTAACAGGTCCCATTCCTGCAATACTTTTTAATATCTCCTCGCTAATTGCCATACATTTGCGAACCAATAGCCTTTCTGGTCCTTTATTGCTCAATGTAGGGAATATTAAATCCAATCTAAAGATTCTTAGTATACCATACAATCAAATTTCTGGTGACTTTCCTTCCAATATTTGCCAATTCACAGAGCTCAGAGTGTTTTCTATAGCTTTCAACAATATAACTGGAGAAATACCCAGAAATATTGGTTGTTTAGCTAAGTTGAAGAAGTTCTTTGTTGGAAACAACGCTATAAATGGGACTCTTCCTACATCATTGGGCAATATTTCCACTCTACAATCTCTTCATTGTCCAAACAATCGTGTAGAGGGGCCAATTCCTTTAGAATTAGGGAAGCTATCAAATTTAAGGTTGTTAGATTTCGCTGAAAATTATAATCTTATTGGTGAAATTCCAAAGGCTATTTTCAATATATCTTCTTTGGAATTCATTTCTTTAAGTTTAAACAACCTCTCGGGGAGAATTCCAGCCACTACAGGTCTTCATCTTCCGAACCTTAACGGGCTTTACTTGGCGAAAAATCAGATTGAAGGGGAAATTCCGCCGTTCATAATAAATTCTACCAAGCTTACTGAGTTGGTGTTAGCTGGAAACTTTTTCACTGGAAAAATTCCTACTAATTTGGGAAATCTTCGCGAGCTACAAGGATTGTTCTTAGTAATGAATCAACTTACCAATGAACCAAGTGAACCTGAGTTGTTATTCTTGAATTCTTTGGTGGACTGTAGGATGTTGCAATATCTATCATTTGGTTACAATCCATTGAACGGAATTCTTCCCAATTCTATTGGGAATCTTTCATCTGCTATTGAATATTTTGAAATAGCAAATGCACGTATCAATGGCCCCATACCCAAAAGTATAGGCAACATGACCGGTCTAACGATGCTAGACTTTCAGAAAAACAACTTGATGGGGAGTATTCCTTTTGAGGTTAGTAAGCTTAAACAACTCCAAGGGCTATATCTACATAAAAATAAATTACAAGGACATATTCCAAAGGTAGTATGTCAATTATCTAGCTTGGTTCAGTTGATTCTGCATAGTAATGAGCTCTCTGGGGTGATCCCTGAATGTATAGGAAATCTAAGCATGCTACAAGAACTTTGGTTGGGATCTAACAATTTTGCCTCAAAGTTACCTTTGAGCCTTTGGCAGTTGGCAGGTCTTCTCCATCTAAACATTTCAAGGAATTCTATACAGGGAGAAGTTCCACTTAATATTGGAGAACTAAAGGCCATTGTAGGACTTGATCTTTCTGGTAACCACTTTTCAGGCATGATACCAAGCAGAATAGGCGAGCTCGAGAACATGCAATATCTTTCTCTATCAAACAACTCATTTTTGGGTTCAATTCCATCATCCTTTTCCAACTTGATAAGCATGGAGTTCTTGGATCTGTCATTAAATGCTATTTCAGGTACTATTCCTATGTCATTGGAAAAATTGTCGCGCCTTAAAAGTATCAATGTTTCATTTAATGATTTGGAAGGTGAAATACCCAATGGTGGTGTGTTTGCAAATTCCACTCCGCAATCTTTCGTAGGCAACAAAGGTCTATGCGGAATGCACATGTTGGAAGTTCCTGCTTGCGCTATTACTAATCCTAGACGTCATTCAAAGTTTAAGAAGCTTGTGCTAAAAATTGTTACTCCAGTGGTTACTTCATCCTTTCTGATATTCTTCTTGGTCTCAATTTGGATAATGATACAACAAAGGAAGGGAAAGTCAAAAGATGCAGAAAAGGTAACAGAGCTCAGAACTTATCAATTGATTTCTTATCACGAGATTCGACGAGCAACAAATAACTTTGATGTGTCAAATTTAATTGGGGTGGGAGGTTCTGGATCTGTGTATAGAGGCACATTATCTAGTGGAACTGTGGTGGCAATAAAGGTTTTGGACTTGCAAAATGAGGAAGCATGCAAGAGGTTTGATACTGAATGTGAAGTGATCAGAAATGTTAGGCATAGAAATCTTGTACCGGTGATTACTACTTGCTCTAGCGAACACATAAGAGCCTTTGTCCTGCAATATATGCCCAATGGGAGTCTTGATAATTGGTTGTACAAAGAAGAGTCTCACTTGAACCTCCTTCAAAGAGTTACCATAATGCTTGATGTGGCTGTGGCAATTGAATATCTGCATCATGATTATGACACTCCGATAATTCATTGTGACCTAAAGCCAGCCAATGTTCTTTTGGATAAAGATATGGTGGCTCATGTTGGTGATTTTGGCATCTCTAAAATTTTAGCAGGAAACAAGTCCACAGCACATACCGCGACATTGGGCACTCTTGGTTACATTGCACCAGGTACACTAGTCTCTTACTCTTTTTCCCTTATCATACTTGAGCCTTTCCAAATTTTAGAACTAAATAAAAGTAAGTCTTTGTTAGTATAGTTTATGGTTATACTTCAAACAAGTAATTGTTTTCTTAATTTTCTTTCTTCTAAGAATATGGCTCGGAGGGAATTGTGTCCACTAGTGGTGATGTTTACAGTTATGGCATCATGTTGATGGAGGTTTTAGCAAAAAGAAGACCAGTCAATGAAGATATATTCAATGAAAGTCTTGGCATAAGGGAGTGGATGAGACGAGCATTTTCAGGGACTATGATAGAAATTGTGGATGCTAATCTTTTTTTTGAGGATAAGATTACTTCCAAAAGTGAAATTTGCATAGCCTCCATGATAGAATTGGCTTTGGACTGCACAAATGAAAAGCCAGAATCAAGGATAACTATGAAAGATGTAGTCAAGAGGCTTAACAAAATCAAGAACACATTTTTGGAAAGTAGAAGTTAGCATCTCTTAAGGTGGTGTTCTTTCTGAGTTGCAAGTTAATATGTCGCTTTTTGTTTACCAGATTTCTTTAATATAGTCTTCCATACTACTTGGAGTCATGTACTGTTTGTAGTTTTGAGTGTTGAATTCTCTCTTGTTGTAATTTTATATTTGAGTGGTTGTAAACCTATTTTACGTTTTTAGTATTTATGGTTTGAATGCTAATTATGAAGGTGTTTAGCAGCACTATTTGGCTTTCTGTTTGCAAGCTTGGAAATATCTATGCCACATCTTATCGCCTCTAATTCATATTTTTGATTCATTAGTTTATTCCTTTGTATTCAATAATTTAATAAACCATTTTATTTTTAACTCAATGTGTAGTGAAAATAAAATATTTGCGCCTTACTTTTGTTGTTGGGAATAAACCCCCCAGAAATATTATTCACGTTAATATCAACGGAATAATAACGTAGTATCGAGATACGGTAATCAACAAGAATAAAAAGAACAATAAGGACACAAATATTTTAACGTGGAAAACCCTTCTGAATAAGAAAAAAAACCAGAGTCTGAGAGAAGCAAAATAATCTACTACAATGAGGAAGTTACACTCTGTAGTCCCAAGTAAATACTCGAAATTCTTACCTCACTACAATATCGCTCGCACTCTCTATTTTTTCTCACATATAATTTTTCTTGTCCGTGAAATACTCGAAGCTTTGTTGCTTTTATGTGTTTCAACAAAGAAGCCGAGAGCTACTTTTTATAGGCGAAGTCACATTTCCTCCGACCAATAGGAATGCTTGCTTTACTTGCAATTTGCCAACTTGCATTCTAGCAAGTTGTTGCCAAAAAAGATTTGGCCCTTGGTGTCCGATTTCTCATTTTTCTATTTATTTTATTTATGGGGCTCGACTCCGTCAATCTCCCCCTCCAGATCTATTCTAGTGAAGGAGGTAATGTCGAGCTTCTAGTTTAAGTGCATGCCGACAAGTTCTTTGTACAACTCGAATTTGTCTCTTGGTTAGCATATCTGCAGAATTCTTAATTGTAGAAATCTTTAGAACTTGCAGAGATTCACTCTCTACCTTTTCTCGGATCCAATGATATCTCACATCGATATGTTTGGTCCTTGCATGGTACATGGAGTTCTTGCTCAAGTCTATTGCACTTTGACTGTTACAATAGACAACATACTCCTTCTGATACAAGCCAGGCTCTTGAAGGAACCGTTTCAGCCAAATCATCTCCTTGCCAGCTTTAGTAGCGGCAATGTACTCCGCTTCAGTTTTAGAGAGTGCGACACACTTCTGTAACCTCGACTGTCATGATATAGCTCCCCCTGAAAATGTAAACAAATATCCAGTAGTAGATTTTCTGTTATCATTACCCCTGCCATATCCGCATCTTTATAGCCTTTCAAGACTGGATCAGATCCTCCAAAGCACAAACAATCGCCTGCGGTACCTCTCAGGTACTTAAGCATCCACTTGACTTCTTCCCAGTGTTATTTTTCAGGAGTTTCAAGAAACCTGCAGACAACACCGACTGCATGAGCAATATCAGGTCAAGTTCATACTATTGCATACATCAAACTTCCGACGGCAGAGGAAGAAGGAACTTTGGTCATGCACTTCTTTTCCTCCATTGTTGTAGGACACATCTTCTTGCTCAACTTCAGATGACTAGCAAGAGGTGTGTTGACTGGCTTAGCACTCTTCATGTTGAGGCGTTCTAGTACACATTCAATGTACTTCTCCTGAGACAACCACAACTTTATGCTTTTTCTCTTTCGAACAATCTTCATTCACAGAATTTGTTGTGTTGGGCCCATGCCCTTCATATTAAATGACTTGGACAAATCTCCCTTCAATTTTGCTATCAGCTCCTTGTCTTTTCCTACAATTAACATGTCATCTACATACAACAACAAAATAATGAAGTTGTTGTCAGAAAATCTTTTGAAGTATACACATGGATCACACTATGTCTTTATGTAAGTTTGACTTTTCATGAATGAGTCAAACTTCTTGTACCACTGCTTTGGTGCCTGCTTCATACCATAAAGACTCTTATTCAGTTTGCACACCATGTGTTTCCTTTCAACTACTTCAAATCCTTCTGGATGCTCTATATAAATCTCCTCTTCTAAATCTCCATGAAGAAATGAAGTTTCCACGTCCAACTGCTCCACTTCAAGATCTAGGCTAGCGGCTGAGCTCAAAATTGTTCGAATATAAGTCATTTTGACAACAAGTGAGAAACTTTCGTCAAAATCAATACTTTTATTCTGTTCAAAGATTTTTACCACCAATCGAGCTTTGTATCTGACCAACTTGCCATTTCCATCTTTCTTGAGTTTCAAGACTCATTTGCATTTGAGTGGTCTTTTACCCATTGGAAGTTCAACCAGCTTGTATGCACCATTTTTCTGTAGAGATTTCATCTCTTCTTGTATGGCTTTCATCCATTGGTTCTTTTCTGGATGAGACATCACCTCCTTAAGACTTTCTGGCTCCCCATTATCACTGATGAGGACATACTCTGTGGAAGGGTACATGCATGACTCTACCCTTGGCCTCTCTGATCTCCTCATAGGCTAAGGTTCTTCTTCTTCCTGAGTGGGGTACTCCACTTGCTTGACATCATCATTAAGTTGCTCCCCCTGCTCTATAACCTCACCAGGTTGCTTCCCCTACTCGGCAACCTCGTCGGTCCTACTTTCTGCACTTGTGGGATTGTTAGAAGTAGAAGGAATGGTAACAAGGTTAGGGATTATACCATTCTTGGCCTTCTCTGGCTAATCATCTACAACTCCATCTTCACTTTCTCGGAAGATTACATATCTGCTTCTAATGACCTTCTTATTTATTGGATCCCATAATCTGTACCCGGATTTTTCATCTCCATATCCGATCAATATGCAGGGAACAAATTTATCATCCAGCTTTGTTCTCTGCTCATTTGGTACATGTGCAAAAGCTCTTCAACCGAACACCTTCAGATGTGAGTGGGACACTTCCTTGTTGGTCCAAACTCTCTCTGGGATGTCAACCTCCAATGGAACTGATGGACTCTTATTGATCAGGTAGCACGCTGTCTGAACTGCTTCACTCTAAAATGACTTAGGTAGTTTAGCCATTCTGAGCATGCTTCTCACCTTCTGAACAAATGGTACGGTTCATTCTCGCAGCTACACCATTTTGTTGTGGAATTCCAGGAACTGTCTTTTCATGTCCGATTTCATGGCTCGAACAATACTCTTCAAATTTCCTTGAAGTGTATTCACCTCTATTGTTAGTTCGGAGATGCTTTAGCTTTCGACCTGTCTTCCTTTCCACCAGAGCATGAAACTTCTGGAAAACTTGAAACACTTGATCTTTCGTTTTCAAGATATAAACCAACAATTTCCATGAAGCATCATCAATAAAAGTAACAAAATATTTGTTACTGCCCATTGATTCAATTTCTATCGGACCACAAATATTAGAATATACCAAATCAAGTATATTCAATTTTCTTTCAGACGATGTCTGAAATAAGACTCTATGCTACTTACCAAATAAACAGTAGTCACAAGGTTTTATCGTTGTAACTTTGGCAAAAGTGATAAGTGATTTTCTCGAAAGAATCTGCAATCCCTTCTCTCTCATATGACCCATTCTTTTGTGCCACAAATCTACAGAAATCTCATTTTGTGCCGCGTTCAATTCACCTCGGCATATTTCTGCATTTGTCATGTACAATGTGCCATGAGTAACTCCCTTTGCAATCACCAATGATTCCTTGGTGAGTCTCCACTTTTGATTTGCAAAATAGTTCTCGTATCCATCTTGGTCTAAAGCTATTCCCGAGATTAAGTTCATCCGCAAATCATGTACATGATGTATGCCCTTTAGAACCAATGTACATCCGACATTTGTCTTGATACAAATCACCGATCCCCGCAATCTCTGAGTAACTCGTGTTACCATTCTCACTGTGCCAAAATCACGTGCTACATATCTGCAAAAATATTTTGTTACCAGTATGGCATGGTAAGATGCAGCTGTGTCAACCACCCATTCCGACTCTAGACCTGCCAAGTGCATGCATTCCTCTTCCTCATTTATAAAAAGAACAACATTATCATTATTTTGTACTATGGCGGTTGTGTTGTCGTCATTCGTTTGGATATTACTTTCACCTTTGCCCTTTCTTAGATTTGGGCAATCTCTTTTAAGTGACCCGGTTGATTGCAATTGTAGCAGTTTCTAACTTTTGATTTGGATCGGTTCTTGGACTTCTCACGACCTTCAGATCTATCATAGTTTCTTGAACTCCTTTGATAACTCCCTCCTCTACCTTCTGTGATGAGAGTCTGTCCTTGATTTTCAGGTTTCTTTCTCATCTTTTCATTTAGTAGAAGAGCCGATGTGACGTCCTTCAACTCAATAGTGGTTTTGCCGTGCAGTATGGTTGTTGCCAAATAATCGTATGAAGATGGCAATGAGTTTAAGAGCAATATGACTTTATCCTCTTACCCGATCTTTACTCCGAGGTTGGCAAGCTGCGTGATTAGTCTATTAAACACATTTAAACGTAACAAAATATTTGTGCCTTCACCCATATGTAGGGCGTATAATTGCTTCTTCATATACAATTTATTTGTCAACGTTTTGGATATGTATAGGCTTTCCAACCTTGTCCAAATTACACATGCAATGTCTTCATCAATGATGTTGTTTACTATATCATCTGATAAGTGCAACCTAATTGCACTAGTAGCCTTTTCATCCAAGTCAGTCCAATCCTAAAATTTTATGGTATTAGACTTTTTGGCATCAACATCTAGTACCTTATGTAATCCTTGTTGGATTCGCAAATCCCTCATCATTTTTTGTCATGTTGAAAAATCGCTATCTCCGTTAAATTTTATTACATCGTACTTTACTCCGGACATTTATTTCACCAGGTATAGTATTACCGACAGTAAATAGTATTTCTGTGAACGAGCAGAACCTGTGCTCTGATATCGGTTATTGGGAATAAACCCCCCACAGAAATATTATTCACAGTAATAATAACGGAATAATAACATAGTACCGAGATACGGTAATCAATAAGAATTAAAAAACAACAAGGACACGCATATTTTAACGTGAAAAAACCTTCTGAATAAGGAAAAAACCACGGGTCTGAAAGGAGCAAAGTAATCTATTATAATGATAAATTTTACACTCCGTAATCCCGAGTAAATGCTTCGGGAACAATTATACACGCAAA